GTGGGCATCAGGTGGGCATCAGGGGAGAACGTGGAAGGCGAGGCCAGAGAGGGAAAGCAGAGGCTAAATTGGGGGCACCCTCTGCTCTCCCTCCTGGCCAGCCAGGCCTGTCCCCGGCCCCTGAGCTTGGTGGGGGGCCTCCCAAATATTCTGAGCATGGCTTGTCTCCTTCTCCCATGGTTCTGGGGTCATGCTGAAGAGCAGCTGCATTCATTCATGCAAAAGGCATAGGGGCGCCTGGCCCACAGCGCCGACATCATTGTGAACATGGAAGCTGGGTTCATAGGGAAGGGGAGGAGGCTGGGCCCCAGGGTCTGGGATCTGGTCCTCAACTTGGTAGACCCAGAAACTGGGTTTTCTGGTCACCAGCCTGTCAAAGTGCAGGTCCCTGGATTCCACCCTGGCTTCCCCAGCCTCATTACCCTCCTCACTCTGTAGGTGCTGGTCTCCGGGAGACCCAGCCTCCACAGGCGCCATCCCTGCTGCCTCTCTCAGTGGCAGCTCCACACGTGGTCCCTCCGAGTCACCCCGCCAGTGGGAGGGCAGACCTTGGATTCACAGATGGTGCTTTTTTAGGGAATTGCCCTCCTCAAGCCTCCAAGGAGGTGAAGAGCCCTGCTGTGTGCAAAGTGAGCGCACAGACCTTGTCACATGGCAGCCCCGTGAGGCGGGCATGAAGGAGACCCGTTTCACAGATGAGGCTAACTGACGCCCAGTGCGGGTAAAGGAGGGAGGTGCAACGAAAGCAGATGCCCGTGCCATTCCGGGCACCGGGCGTGGTGCTTGATGCACATCAGCTCTCAGGACGCTCTCTCCCAAGTTACTGTGCTCACTTCCGGGAGGGAGAGACAGCTCAGGAAGGGAAGGAGCTCCCAAAGCTCAACAGGCTTCCTTGTGAGGGGACCAGGCTGTCTCCATGATGGCCAGCTCCTTGGAGGACACCCTCTCTGTGAACGTGAGCCCCGGCTGCACACCCACCAGCACCCTAACAGGGGCCTCCGCCCCTGACCAATGTGGGGAGGGACACAGCGCGACTCGGTGACGTTGCCACCCCCGTGCACCCTGCCTGCTCAAGACAAGCCAAGGGCCGAAACCGGTTTGGCTCTGCGGACTGAAAGGTCCCAGGTTTGATTCCGGTCAAGGGCATGTACATTGGTTGCGGGCACATCCCCAGTAGGGGGTGTGCAAGAGGCAGCTGATCGATGACTCTCTCTCATCGATGTTTCTAACTCTCTATCCCTCTTTCCTCCTCTCTGTAAGAAAATCAATAAAATATATTTAAAAAAAAAAAAAAAAAAAAGACAAGCCAAGGGACACAACTCCCATAATCCCTCTCCTCCCACCCCCCAGGAGAAATCAAGATGTGGGTTGTGGTACAACCAGGACTCTGCTGAAAGCCTGTCATCCCCTGTTGCCACAGCAACAGGAGCCTCTTTTCCCCCAGGATGCGAGCCAAGCGGCTCCCCCAAAGTATCTTCTGCCTCTGAGAGTCTGTCACTCAATGATGATCGCGAAAGCTCGCAAGACTGGTTTTTGCCATTTTCATTTATTCCATCATCTGCGGAGTCACGGAGACCTGCTCTGGATTAGGATGGTTAGTTGGCCACTGGTTGCCATGGACACCGCGCTTCCTTCATCACCTGTTCATTCTGGGCCATGCTGGCTGGGAGTGTGGGGACCCCGGCCTCTTACCCAGGTTGGGAGGGGCCTGATGATGCACAAACAAAAGCAAAACCCCCAGTCCCAGCTGCGGAAAATAAAAAATAAACAGCCTGGAGCTAGTTATGAGGTCAAGACAGTGGTTTATCAGGCAGGCTAACAAGCCCAACCGGTGTGGCCCAGGGATTGAGCATCAACCCAGGAACTGAGAGGTCACAGGTTTGATTCCCGGACAGGGCACCTGTGGCTGCAGGCTCGATCCCCATGAGAAGACATGTAGGAGGCAGCCTATCAATGATGCTTTCCCCCATCGGTGTTTCTTTTTCTTTTTTAGAAATATATCTTATTGATTTTTGTACAGAGAGAAAGGGAAAGGGAAAGAGTGTTAAAAACATGGATGAGAGAGAAACATCGATCAGCTGCCTCCTGCACAACCCCCCACTGGGGATGTGCCTGCAACCAAGGTACATGCCCTTGACCAGAATCGAACCTGGGACCCTTCAGTCCCCAGGCTGATGCTCTATCCACTGAGCCAAACCAGTCAGGGCACACCCCATTGGTGTGTCTATCTCTCCCTTCCTATTGCTCTAAAAATCAATAAAAAAAATATATATATATTAAACCCAGGTCAACAAGCGTTCCATTTGGATTTCTGGAACGTCTTGGGCAGACCCTTTACTCTCTTTCTTAGCCATTTGAAGATGTATTTTTATTTATTTATTTATTTTTAAAATAGATTTTATTGATTTTCCACAGAGAGGAAGGAAGAGGGATAGAGAGCTAGAAACCTCGATGAGAGAGAAACATCAACCAGCTGCCTCCTGCACACCCCCTGCCGGCAGGGGGTGTGCCTGCAACCAATGTACATGCCCTTGACCGGAATCGAACCTGGGACCTTTCAGTCCGCAAACCGGTGCTCTATCCACTGAGCCAAACCGGTTTTGGCTGAAGATGTATTTTTATGATGAAAAGTGGTGGATGTGTTATGCGGGATTCTGCCTTCCCTTGAGGCACAGGGACCTCCAAGAATTGACTCTGGATAGGGGGTTTGCAAGAGGGGGGATGGGGGGGCAGGCCTGGGAAGATGTGGGGTAGCTGTGAGTTAGATGCAGCCCAGCAGAGAGGGCAGGGGGTGGGGGAGGCGGGAGGGAAGGGGGCGCGATTCTCTGGGGTTTCCAGGTGAGGTAAGTGAAGGGTTCAGAGCCACCAGGATGTGACCACGGGGCAGGGAGAGCATGGCCATCAGCCACGGCCCATTGCTCCCGATAACGGGACACGTCCTGTTTGCAGAGGCAGGCGGATGGGACAGGAGATCAATATGTCACTCTGGTCACACCTTCCTGGTCTCAAGCGTCAGTACAGGGCGAAACACGCTCTCTCTGACTCTAAGGTCATTGGGTCCACCCGCCTCACCTGCCCCCTAACAGGAAGTAGTCTAAAGGATGCCCCCCAGACCCCCGGCCTCGAGAACAGGGCCCCAGGAAGCCGGTCTCCTGCCTGCCTCCATGCCCAGCAGAACAGCCCCTACCCTGCTTTTGTCCTCCCCATGAAGTTCAGCGCCCCTTCCTCCCTCCACATCCGGGGGACTGACTGGATGGCAGGGTGGGGCAGGGTTCTTCGCGCTGCGGGGAGCCTGGCCTCCTGGGAACGGAGGGCTGGGAGGGGCCTTGAGGGGCTTTATAAGGCTGGGCTGGAGCCACCGGCCCAGCAGAGAACCAAACCAACCGAGAGGCACCAGGCAGACCTCAGCATCACCAACTCCCGCTCTGCAGGTGAGAGCACCCGAAGGGGAGGGAGGGGGAGGCTGGGAAGAGCGTTGATGGGGCCTCATGCCCTGTCAGGCTCACGTGTCACTGTCGCCAGGGCTGGGACCCTCGCCTTTACCTGTGGCGGGACTAGGTCTCAGCAGGAGGACCCGCCCTGGCTTCCCGACCCTTGCCTTTGAGCTGACCTGCGGCTGCTTCCCCCAGGGCCCAGCCCTGACCCTCTGACGCCATACCTCCCACCTCCCCGCCAGCCTTGGGAGGCCAGAGAGACAAAGGCTATTCTCCCATCTCTCAGATGAGAAAGCTGAGGCCCAGAGGGAGGTATGACCCAAATGATTGGGTAAGGCCGGGCCTTGAACCTGTGTTCTTGGACCCCAGCTGGAGCTCTTTCCTAGACCAGCCCTGTCTGAAAGAACCTTCCATGATGATGGTAGTGTTCTGTGTCTGCTCTGTTCTGTACGGTACCCACCAGCCACACAGCACTGGAAACAGGGCGAGTGCAAGGGAGGACCTTCCTATCTTTTTAAAAAATATATATATTTTATTGATTTTTTACAGAGAGGAGGAGAGAGGGATAGAGAGCTAGAAACGTCAGTGAGAGAGAAACATCGACCAGCAGCCTCTTGCACACCCCCTACCGGGGATGTGCCCACAACCAATGTACATGCCCTTGTCCGGAATCGAACCTGGGACCTTTCAGTGCACAGACCAACGCTCTACCATTGAGCCAAACCGGTTTCAGCAGGACCTTTCTATCTTAATTAATTAAGTGTAACGAGCCACATGGGGCCAGTGGCTACCATATTAGACAGCCCACATGGTTAGTGTTGGACACGGTGAGTGTGCTGGAAATCTCCAAAGAGATCCCTTGTGGTTCTTCAACACTGCTGAGTGTACTTTAAAAAAAAATACATTTTTTTATTGATTTCAGAGAGGAAAGGAAAGGGAGAGAGAGATAGGAACGTCAAGGGTGAGAGAGATCATTCTTTCTTTTTTGCCTTCTAAATGTATTTTTTTTTTTATTGATTTCAGAGAGGAAGGGAGAGGGATGAGAGAGAATCATGGATTGGTTGCCTCCTTCACGCTCCACACTGGGGAGCTAGCTGGCCGCCTGGGCATGTGCCCTGACCAGGGATGGAACCGTGACCTCTTAGTTCATGGGTCGATGCTCAACCACTGAGCCACGCCGGCCGGACCCTTGGTTATTCCTTTTAAAGCTTGCCTTCCATGGCAAGAACAAAACACCCACTGAGCTGCTCACCTGGCTTCGGATTGTGCAGAACAGCTGAGAAATCATTGCTCTAGGTTTTCCGTCCCCCTAAGAAAAGCAGCCGCTGGAATCAGGGTAGGGAAGGAGGAGAGGGGCAAGGCGTGGAGGTGTGTGTGTGTTGGGGAGGGGGGTGGGGGGTGGGCGATAGCGGGGGAGGGGGTGGACTGGCAGGAACAGTCCACCAGCCCTTGCAGCATTGCACACCTGCCAGCAGGGGGCACCTGGAGCCCACCTGGCCCAGGCCCCTGCCCCTGGTGCCCGGACTGCCCCTCCCTACGCTCGGTCCTGCTCTCTCTGCAGACAAGATGCAGCGCCTGTGTGTGTATGGGCTGCTCCTGGCTCTGGCTCTGGCCGCCTTCTCCGAAGCCTCCTGGAAGCCCCGCTCCCAGCTGCAGGACGCACCCTCGGGCCCAGGTGCCAGGGGGGCCCTGGAGGCACGTTGGCTGGACCAGCTGGGCTCAGCCCCTCGCCACCAAAGGCAGCTGAAATTCCCGGGTCCCCCACACCCTGTGGCAGGTAGGAGCCGCGGACAGCCCTCCCTGCTGGCCTCGCCCAGCCAGAGTGGGCCTCAGTCCCCGGGGCGAGGTGTCCTGGTCCATCCTCACTTCCTCTCCATCTCCGGCCCGCAGACCTGTCCAAGAAGCAGGGGCCGTGGCTGGAGGAGGAAGAGGAAGCGTATGGATGGATGGACTTCGGCCGCCGCAGTGCTGAGGATGGAGACCAACAGCCCTAGCAGCGCCCGGTCACCGCCCAGCCCAGCCCAGCCCAGCCCAGCCCCATGGAAAACCAATCCCAATAAAGTCGCTTCCAATGGACCACATTGCATCAAGTGTCCTGGGGCAAGGGAGGGGCATTGGGGCAGGGTTGAGGCAGGGAGGGGAGTTGGGGCAGGGTTGAGGCAGGGAGGGGAGTTGGTTGGGGCAGGATGGAGGCAGGGAGGGGAGTTGGGGCAGGGTAGAGGCAGGGAGGGGAGTTGGTTGGGGCAGGGTGGAGGCAGGGAGGGGAGTTGGGGCAGGGTGGAAGCAGGGAGGGGAGTTGGTTGGGGCAGGGTGGAGGCAGGGAGGGGAGTTGGGGCAGGGTGGAGGCAGGGAGGGGCGTTGGTTGGGGCAGGGTGGAGGCAGGGAGGGGAGTTGGTTGGGGCAGGGTGGAGGCAGGGAGGGGCGTTGGGGCAGGGTGGAGGCAGGGAGGGGAGTTGAGCACTGTCTAGGGGCAGAGGCCATGGCTCATGCTTCTTGGTGTCCCCAGAGCCCAACACTCATGTGGGTGGGAGAATAGGGGGTGAGGGCTGAAATCAGAGAAAGCTTTTTATTTTATTAAAAAAATATATTTTTATTGACGTCAGAGAGGGAGAGGGAGAGAAGAGAGAGAAGCATCAATGATGAGAGCGAGCCATTGACTGGTAGCCTCCCCTTCCAGAGCAAGTCATGACATCTGCAGGAGAGAATTACTTACGATTTATTTTTTATTTATTTATATTTTTAATATATTTTATTGATTTTTTACAGAGAGGAAGGGAGAGAGATAGAGATCTAGAAATCTCGATGAGAGAGAAACATCGACCAGCTGCCTCTTGCACACCCCCTACCGGGGATGTGCCCGCAACCAATGTACATGCCCTTGACCGGAATCGAATCCGGGACCTTTCAGTCCGCAGACCGACGCTCTATCACTGAGCCAAACCGGTTTCGGCGGGAATTACTTACGATTTAAAAAGCCACCCTGACCCCACCTGTGTGGCTCAGTTGGTTGAGTGTGGGCCTAGGAACCAGACAGAAGGTCGCTAGTTGGATTTCTGGTCAGGGCACCTGCCCTGGCTGCAGGCTCGATCCCCAATGTGGGGTGTGCAGGAGGCAGCTGATCCACAATTCTCTCTCATCTTTGATGTTTCTATCTCTCCCTCTCCCTTCCTCTCTGAAATCAATAAAAGTATATTCAAAAGATAAAAATTAAAAGCCACTCCTCCAGCCTTTGAAAGTCTGGAGTCCACCATCCTGGGCTGCTGATCCATGATCCCACCTCCCCCTCCCCCCATGACTCCCCATCCTCCACAAGGAAATCACTGCCAGCCTCTCCTCTCCCATTACACATCGTTTTCTTGTCATCATGTAAGGGTCCAACAGGCATGCTCTTCCTGTTTGGGGGTCCCTTCTCATCCCCCTGCCCTTCTGCCATCCCCTCCACTCCTGCCACACAGGTCTCCCCACTATTGGGAAGCGTCATGCTTTCATTCATTCATGAAACAGAAGCTCTGCCCAGTGGCTCCCCACTAGCCTCCAGCCTCCGGCTTCCTGGACCATCTCGCTGTGTTGTGAACAGCTCTGTGGCTCCAGCTCCCGGCATGCAACGGGTCATACAGCAGAGGGTCATTCACCTCCTGCGGAGTCGATGTTTGTTGAACTGGGTTTGACCTGCTCATGGAAAAGCAGCCAGGAGGCCCCTGGGGAGCTTGGGGTGAAGAAGGAGGACAGGAAATGGAGAAGACAAAGAGAGACGAAAGGGACCCCCCAGGTGGGGGCACCATCTAGTCAAGCATGTCAAACTCCCGCCTGCGGGTCACAGGCGGCCCACCACGAATATCTATATTTTTAAAATATATTTTTATTGATTTTTCACAGAGAGAAAGAGAGAGGGATAGAGAGTCAGAAACATCGACGAGAGAGAAACATTAATCATCTGCCTCCTGTACACCTCCTACTGGGGATGTGCCCGCAACCAAGGTACATGCCCTCGACCGGAATCGAACCCAGGACCCTTCAGTCCCCAGGCCGATGCTCTCTATCCACTGAGCCAAACCGGTTTCGGTGCACCACGAGTATTTTTGAGGTCCAGCCAATATAATGGAATGTAAGAAACTTTTTGCATATATATATTATACAGATATGCTGATTGCAGTGTCTATGTTCTTTGTGTAAGGTAAAATAAAGATTATTCCCTTGCCATTGTTGCAAGTTCACAGGCTTTATGAAAAGGCTTCGCTATTTCCCCCAGCTTAATTAACTTGCACTTCCGTTAATTAATGAATGGTGTTATTGGTGAGATGTGGTAAAATAAATGGTCCTGACTACTCAGCGGATCGTATAAACCTAAAATACCCCCCAGACCTTCCAGTCTCAGCCTGTAGATCTCATTATTAAATAATTTAGAAAGAACTGTTAGAGATGACTTCATGAGCAGGCTGAACTTTCCTATTTTGCCATTTTGCCAAATGCATATATTTTTACCTTTAAAAAGAAACAATACTATTCATTTCCACTGAGACGAGGTGTAAGGGAAAAACAAAAATAAAGCCATGGATTTTTGTTGTTGTTAATCGTCATGCAAGGATATTCTTCTATTGATTTTCTTTAGAGAGTGGAAGGGAGTAGAAGAGATATTAATAAAAACTTTGTAACTTAATTTTTACAATATCCTGTTATACATAATTATCAATAACGAACTAATGACTGATGACTGTCACTCTGTTGCATTCATTTCCCTTCCCCGCCTTAACACCATTTCTCTCCCCTAATACTGGCAGCGAATATTTTAGTAGCTGATTGCCAGGGCATTCGTCTTGTACTGACTTGTTTGGTGTGCGCAACGAGAAATATTTTGCTTTCGGAGAACAAGAAAAACAGGTTGATTTGCGTTATGCTTATTTAATTTGTGCAGTTGTTCAGTGTCTGGTAAGTGAATGTTCAAGAAAAATACTAATTTTTGTTAAAATGTTTAATTATTTTAAGTCAGTGATTACTCATGTATTTCAGCTCTTTGTATTCAGCATGTCTCTACTAAAATAAACCCATGTTCCCATGAAAATGGAAGCTTTCGTGTTTTCGCGGCCCACATAAACTTAAACCTTGCTTACTGGGCCCGTGTTAGCCTTTGATGGGACATGCTTGATGTAGGTTCAGGCACGGGAGCCCAGCAACTCCAGATGAAGCCACCAGAGGGCAGTGTCAGCCCACATCTCACGGCTCTCCAACGCCCTCCTGGGCAGGGCCAGTGACCCCGCAAAAGAGGCCCAGTCTGCAAAGTGAACGTTTTACAGACCGAGCAGCCCAGGCTCAGCCGGGCTCACTCTGCAGGTAAACCTTCGGGCCCGGCAGGCAGGCCTCCGCCACAGCCCGGGAGACCGGACAGGCGCCTTGTTCCCCTCCCCACCCTGTGCTGCTGCTCTGACCCCAGAGGGCCTCCTGCCCCCCCTCCCTCCCAATGGGTGCCCTCAGACTCCTGCTGGGCCAGAGAGAGGACAGAAGGAGCCCCCCTCCACCAGAGCCATGAACTTGGGGCACCATCGCCCTGATGCCCAGCCTTGGGAAGAGTCACCTGGGACAGGGTATCCCATGGCAAGACCCCTGAGGGCCAGGGCCCGGGGTCAGGGCAGGGCCAGGCGTGAGAACTACCTTCTGCATCGAACTGGGGAGCAGGACCGAGAGGGAGCCCTGGACAGGGGACAGGGGAGACTCCCCCTTCCCCCTGCACCTCCCCTTCTCCCTCCCTTGCCCCTGCAGGCCTCAGGGGAGCCCTCCTCCCTCTCCTGGCTCTTCTTCCCCCATCCTCCCCCAGCACCTGGGCTCCTCCCCCCCTTAGGGCCCCCTCTTCCTTTACCCCCCCCCCCCCCCCCCCAGGACCTCGGCCAGACTCCTGGGGCGCTGCCTTTGCCCTGGCCGGGAACAAGGGGACGGAATGGGCTGGGGCCTGAGCCTCTCCGCCTGCCGTCCTCTGTTGTCCAGGACCCAGCTCAGAGCTTCCAGAAAAGGTCTTAAGAGGGGGGAGAACCTGGGGGAGATGCCATCCTACCAACAATAAAAAACAGTAAAAAAGAAAAAGAAAAGGTGCTAATTCGAGTCCTGACTCCAGAGGGTGACCTTCATCCGTGATGGGCGAGTGCCCGCTCTTTGGAGGAACACGTGCTTCCCGCAGTAAACAAACACGGGCTGGAAGCTGCCGCAGCTCCCGGAGGGGGGGAGGGAGGCCCGGGTCCGGCTCCCCGGTCGCTTCCTGTCCGACCGCCCCCGGGGCGGGAGGGGCGGGGGCGGGGCTTGTGCTGCAGGAAAAACAAACCAGGAATCCGGACCCGCCGTGTCGTTCCCGCCTGTGACCAGCAGGGGGCGCCACCCGAAACCGTTGTCCGCATCCCGGACACACAGGGCCTGTGTGTGGTGCACACGGAGGTCAAAGGTCCCAGGCGGGACTGGAAGGAGACCAGACGTTGTCAAAGGCCGTAATTCAAAACCTGAACGTTCGGACAGTTCTGGGGTGGGTTTCTCTGGGAGGACACGTGGGGGGGGGGGGAGAGAAATCTCCTGTGTCCGCTCTGGGACCCGGGGCAGCTCCCGTGGGGCCGCAGGAGGGCAGGACACAGCCCCGCTGTGTGGTGTGAGTGCCACGCGGCAGGCCTGGGGGAAGGATGCTCTCCCCTCTTGGGGGGCCGGCTCACGCTGCCCGCTCCCCCAGCTTCCCCGCTGCCTGGAGGGGAGGCGCTTCCTGCTGGCACAATGGGGCGTCTGAGCATTCTTGCTCTCTCGGAATGTAAGATCGGAAAGGACATTGGGTCCAGGCTCTCCCCAGCGGAAACGGACCTCATTGGCAGAGACACCATCTAGTTTGCAAACCTCACTAGGGGTCAAAGGTGCATTCCCACATGCAGCCGTCAGGGCCTCCTCAGACCTACAGGCCAGGGGGCCGCTCCGGGTGGGCTGCTGCCCGGACTGCTCCCCACACACTGCACCCCTCACCCTGCGCCCCTCA